TGATGATGGTGATGATGATGATGATGATGATGATATAATATCCATGAAATACCTATATTTCTCCTTTTCGAAAAACTGATATTTTCACAGGTGAAAATAGCATGTTTTCACATGAAAATATCRTTACCATRTGTATTCAAGCTATTAGTTTATGAATAAAAACATTTTATATTAATAAAAAGCTTATTAAGTTGATTTTATGGATAATTATATAATAAACAGAATATTACATGGGCACTTGGAGATACGAAATTTTATATCTTCTCTTGTTGAAAATCACTAACTCGTGCGCAGTGTTCACTCGTGAGAGATCTTTTCAACACTCGAAGATAAATTTCGTATCTCAGCGTGCCCATGTAATATCCTCTATATCTCTTTTAAATGAAAACAACTAAATAGATATTAAATAAATAGGATTTAGCAGTGACTACACATAGAAGCCTTTCTCACACAGGGAGGAAAACTGTATGGGGTAATATAAAAAGAGTAGAGTAAAGAATAAACAACTTCGACAACTTCAACGACTTTCACTAATAAATTGGAGCTAATAACCCTAATTAACAGAGAATTCAAAACTGCAGTATTATTTATTTATTTGTTTATTTAAATTGAACATCTTTCAGTTGACCCAAAAGCAAGCATTGGATGAATTGTTTTCTAATACAACTTGGTCAACAACTAAGTTGAAGGATGCAGCTGATATCGAAGTGTTGAAACATTGGGATGGTGCCAACACAAACATCTATGTTACCCTTGTCATATTCATAGTGCTTAAGGTATGTTATGTGATGGGTGTGGTCTCACAGGGTGTTAGGTGATAGTGGTGATGGTGGTAGCACAAACATCTATGTTACCCTTGTCATATTCATAGTGCTTAAGGTATGTTATGTGATAGGTGTGGTCACGCAAGGTGTAAGATGATCGTGGTATAACACTTTATATTGACATATACTTTGTTGTTAGTTTCTCATGACTGCAGTTGCCGTTTCCCTTCCAATCCCTGCTGGAGTATTCTTCCCAGTTTTCCTCATTGGTAAGTGCTAGGGGACTATTCATTTTTTATTGGGGAGGGGAGGGGTGGGGTGGAATTTTTGTACATAATGCATAATGGTCTGCCACCGCCATACTGAATTATTTTTCTTATTATTGATTGACAGGTGCAGCATTTGGCCGTTTAGTAGGTGAAGCTATGGCAACCTGGTTCCCTAATGGAATAAGAGATGGAGATATTGTGAGCCCTGTAGTACCAGGAGGATATGCTGTCGTGGGTAGGTGTTTCTTATACTCATACATGTACCATACCATTATGGGATGTTGAGGTGTAAGAGTAAGCTGGCTGACGGTGGACCTGTTTGCCATGGGCATCTGAGTTTTCAATATGTCATTCTCGTTATAATAAGATTCATTGTTTGAGTCGTATCCATATTGATGTGGAAAAAAAGAAATAATACTCTAGGGAATGACATGTGTTATGGATAAGGAAAACATTGTGTCCAAGGTAAAGTGGTTTATTGACAGTAAAAAAAGGAATAGAAAAGTCTTAGTTGAACCCATAACTCCAGGCATGAACTATACAGGGGTGACAGCAGACAGCACAGTAGGAGCACATGCCGCCCATGCCACCAGAATTGACATATATTTTATTCTTTGCCAGGTGCCGCAGCCATGGCAGGCGCTGTAACACACACCATTTCTACTTCTGTCATTGTCTTTGAACTAACAGGACAGATTGTACACATTCTACCTGTTATGGTAAGTGTACTGGTGTTTCCTAACCTACACACACCATCTCTACTTCTGTCATTGTCTTTGAACTAACTGGACAGATTGTACACATTCTACCTGTTATGGTAAGTGTACTGTTGTTTCC